CTTCCTACTCCAGCTGAAACTTCTCAGACCACGGGAAGTCCTGTGCCCCAGTATACCTGCTCCAGTTTTCCAAAACCAGTTGCACACAAAACCAGATTCTCTCATGGAACATGTGGTTATGCTGTCCATAAATATTATTTCATATTCTCAAGTCTAAGCTTGCTAGCTGTATTAAAAATACATGAAATACATTTTATGTTTGACACATTGTATGGTCTTATTATGAATAAAAATGTCCCTTCGCTTTTGTATCCTGCTAAAGCCTTGGCCTTAGTGTCTCAAACCTGCCTGCAGCTCCAGTGATGGGAAGCTGAAAACATTCCCAAACTTCCTCCTATGTCTCTGAGTGTTGTCATGTGCACTCAGCAAGATTAAAAGTACCCGAGTCAGACACAGATCTGGTAACTTCCTAAGATATATAGACATATCTCCGAAAGCAGATATTACTGTCAGAAAACAGAGAGTTTTTAAAATTAATTCAGAAAAAAATTATCTGCATTAGACATGCACATCAACAATCCTGCTCCATAACAATGTTCAGGCATTACCAAATTAAATGCTACTTCTTATGTAGTGATATTCTCCATGTTGAGTCATTTGAACATCCAGATTTCAAGAACATTGTTATAAGAACTGTCATAAATAAAAAGTACTACTTATCCAGCATTTTATACCCTGAAACAGTTTGAGCCTTTGTTGAAGTCTCACTCCAATGAGAATGGAATTAGTGCCCATTTTACAACGTGGAGAAAGGGAAGTACGCTGGCACACATGGCTGAAAGCTGCAGGAGGAATCCTGACACTATGTTTAAGCAGAACAGGGCAAAATAAAATTTCATTCCATTTCTTAGATAGACTGAGCAATCAGCATGACTCTTGGCCTATTATATATGTTTTGCAGGTCAAAATTTTCAACGACATTATTACAAATAGTAAAGAATGAAACACAACTAAAAGGTCGTCTTTCTAGAAGACACCAATATATTTTTTTTTAAATGAGAAATGCCATTTTAATTTTTTTTTTGAAAAAAAGCTTTCAGTGTGATTTGATTATAAAGCTGCAACAACTATAAAACACTGTTTTCTTTTTTGTTCATTCTCCTTTCCTGTCTCCTCCATCACTAGGAACAGTGTAAGTAGTTATTCCTAGATCTGAGAAGTAGAGCTCTTTCATTAATTTTATTGGTTTTGTAATTTTTCAATTTAAGCCAGATCCTTGCTGATTATTGAAAGAAAGAGAAGTAAGGATGTCTTTTAAAATTAGAAAAAAACATGCATTTAACCAAAAGCAGCTCTAAAGGAAAACTCATGAAGCACTTTAAATGCAAATTACCTATAACTTGCATTTCATTTCTGCAAATTTGCAAATAAAATTCTAAAATCTCAACCAAAGCACTTCGGGTTTGTTTGCAGCTAGCTCCACCAGGCTTGTGTCCTTCTCACCCTGATTCTCTCCAGGGAATAGCAGGAAGCTGGATGCCCCAGGCTCCCCCTCCAGCCAGCAGACGCTCCACAGCAGTGCAGGCTGGCCTGGGTTTGCGATCCCTGGTGTGGCAGGGCTCTGCCCTTCGTGCCAGCCGCGCTGCTGTACAGCAGGGTCACTGCAATGACATGGCAGAGCTAGTGTCTGAGCTCAAAAATAAATTCATGCCCTTGCATGTCTTCAAGCCACATGCAGAGCACCTTTTATCCACAGTAAGAATATATGGCCAGAATAGCCTCTCAGGTCTCTTCGGGATGTATATCTACCCACTGTACAAGACAAGATGGCACAAGAAGCATTGCACTATGAGATATCACGTTATGTTCATTTTCTCTTCAGTGAACTGAACTGCAAATAAATGACTCAGAAACCAGCATGAAATGAGGACATATCACCAACGGGGTTTTATAAACATTATTTGTTAGAAGAAGTAACTCTTGTAACAATATATGACCCATGACTAATTTCAGGGGGTCAAGGTGATCTTTGCCCTCCACTGTGTAGAGTATTATTCTTCTCTAAAGAAGTTCAGAGGTTAATGAATAAAGTGTCAGCAAAGAAGAAATGAGACTAAGCAAGAAAATGCCCGTTCTTGGGCTCTGCTATAAATAATGCTCTCATTAAAATTCTGCCTTGGAAGAAAGGCAAGTCCATTAGTCTAGGAGCTAATTTTTACTGGCTCCTTAGATGTATGCATATTAAAAATTCAGCTTTTATAATTGCCAGCCATCAACCACCTAGTCAGTGCTGTTCTTGGAGTTTTTAATTATTTACTTCATTTGCATAGACACTCCAATTTATGATCAACCATTTAGTTATCAAGGGACAGTTTTAGTAATTCCTCTTTTACATTTTTATTTATTCCTTTTGTATCCCTAGCAGGAGTGCTGAAAGGGCCTTGCCCAAGTTGTGCAGCAGCAGGACATGCCCACTCCAGCAACCACAGCCTGACGCTGTGACGTGTGGATGTGCTTCCCCACGCCCTCTCTCCCTGGGCCAGGGCAACAGAATCACAGAATTGTTCAGGTTGGAAAAGACCTTTAAGATCATCAAGTCCAACCGTTAACCTAGCACTGCCAAGTCCACCACTAAACCATGTCCCTAAGCACCACATCTTTTACATACCTCCAGGGATGGTGACATGGTACGGTGTACCTACATGGCATCTGCTAAACGCCCGTATCCCACCTCAGAGCGCCACAGCAGGGTGCGAGGATAGTGCTCCGACCCAATAACTTAACCCCCTCTTCCTCCTCAGATGCTGAAGGCCCTTGCCTGGCACCTTGGCCTCAAGAGGGGGGAAGGGCTCACACTTGGGAATGTGCTGCCTCTTTGCTACGAGTGCTCTGGCACTTTGCCCCAAAGCTCTTCTCCTCTGGGTTTTCAGTCTCGGGCTGTTTTCTTCTCCTCTCGCAAACTTGCTCTGTTGTCTGAGGATACTGCTGCCACGAAACCTCCAGTACCACCCTTCCTCCGTACAAAGAGGTCCCAGCCTTTTCTGTTCATATTTCTAAGCAGACAAGTACACGTTCTCTCTCAAAATACTGTCTGCCCAACTCCTGGGACACACAAAAAGGAAAGAAAACATAGGAAGATGGAGGCTTTGAAAAGAATGAGTTCTGCAGTCGCGCAGGAGCACACCTGTCCCACCACTCCACCCAAGCCCAGGCCCTGGGCAGCTGGGCTGCACTACCACCCCTGATGCACTCTTCAGCTGGACATCAACCACCTGGGCACCACTAGTCCAGAGACAGCAGTGAATCTTGAAAAGCCACCCAATTTTTTGTTCATCCTTAGAAACAACTAAATTATCGAACGAAAGACATGTTGTCTGTCTTCAGCATTCAATGGCAGGCTCCAGCAACAATGGGAATGATTGATTTGTAATCCCTGGTATCATTGTGCTCCTCCCCGGGTACCATCTCTGATGGCATTTTGCAGACAGGATACCAGACAGCAAATGCGAAGGGAGCAAAGCAGCCTTGCCTGGCAGGAAGGGAATTGATTACCAATCCCTCTTTCTGCCAGGCAGAATTTCTTTGCTGCATTTCATACTTTTCAATGGGCTGTCTACAGACAGCCTCCAGATGGCTTTGGGGGGAAGTGAGGGCAATGACACTAGAGATTACAAATCAATCACTATTATAGAGCCTTTTATTTGGTAGAAGCTTCTGAGCAGAAAACAGATACCAAAAATATATAATACATCCTGATTTTTTGTTTGCTGTTTCCTTTCCTTAAGCAATTTTATGTCCTCTTTTCCTCCTGACACCACTGCTTTCTCTTCTTTCACTGCTTTTACTTCCATCTTTTTTAGTACATATTTCTCATTTGTACTTGATTTTATCCTTCTATCATCTTTCTCACTAACCTACGCCATCCATAGTTACCTGACATGGAAGTAAAACCTGATCTTTCTACTCTACGCTGTCGTCTTCCTTTTCTTTCACACCCAGATCCCTTTTCTCAAAAAATGGTATGGTAACGCTGACAGAGAACGGAGCAAGGTCTACCTAATTTTTATTGTCTTGAAGCCATCTCATATATCATTCTGACTGCTTGTGCTCATAGCAGTATGTCGGGTTTAGTACGATAGGATCCAGGCAATGAGGAGAGAAGCTAACAGAGAGTCTGGCAAAAGATGATTGTAGCCCCTCAGCTGCAATATAAAACATCCAGAGAAAGCTCCGCATACATCAGGGTACACACACACTGCTGGGCACTGGCGCCACATTGCCATATGTGACACTTCTGATCAGTGCATTAATTTTATAAGGGAGATCACGGATGGAGTCCAATCCAGCCAGAAAGAATCAGAATATACAGTTATTCCAGAGCTTTTACATGAGAACAGTCCCAAACACTCAGCGCACAGGCACGATTTTACTCACTTTTATGCTTTCTTTCCTGTTCTAATTCATGCTGTCTTATCAACAGAGGTGTTATCAACTGGAACAAGTGAGGTAGATGTTGACAATAGGTTTGTTGGGCAGAAGTAAAGAATTTCTAAACAATAAACCTGATCAAGATACAGGTCAGTTTAAATAAATCAACTGACATGCATTTGGTAAAATAAACATCAGAGGTGTTGAAAAACGCCTTTTAGAAAGCTTTGGCTTACTGAGTCAAACCAGCTTTCTGTCCTGAAGTGTTAACAAGTTTAGATTTAAGTATATTTTTAGAAACTGAAAAATACATCAAAATTGGTGGAGGAGAATATATTTCAAAATTCTGGCAATGCAACAGTTTGATTGTTCAGAACAGAGATTTTATCCATGTATTGATACACAGAAAGTTTTCAAACTACTGACTTTTCATTCTAATCCAAGTAGGAAGTTTTTTTCAAAATCTCAGAAATGTGTTTGATTATTAAACCCCCCCTTCCTCCCAGGAAGGATGTCACTTTGTTGTTGTGCAGAGATCCAAAATTACGGTAGAAAACTCTCTCAGGACCAGCATCTCCCCTGCGTGAAACATCCACTATGAATTTTCAAGTGCACCAGCTATGGCAAGAGACATTTCTGAGTTATGACACCACTACTGTAAGGCAGACTACACAACTGAGTTCAAGTCAGTCATGTTTTACCATCAGATGAATTACTAGAGCCAGACAGTAGTGCTTTTGTTATAACACAAGAGCACAAAGCAGTGGGCTAAAGACTGCAGAGGAAACAGTTTCCAGCGGGGTATGAGAGTGCCACGAACACAGCACAGCTTATACAGCAAAGAGTGAAGCTGAGATTTGATGTGCCTTGCTAAAGAAATCAACACTGTGTTCCTTCACATCTCATTCAAACTCTTGAGAAACACAGTGAGGTGCTGGAGGTTGTGTTTTCTACTTACGTTTGTTCCATTTGGGGGTATCTCCAGTTGCACAGTGTTATGCTGAAGTCAAGAGGTGAAAACAAAAAAAAAGAAAAAAGAAAAAAAAGCAAAAAGAAAAAAGAAAAAAAAGCCTGCATGACTCATTTTATGCATCCAATACAAGATAAGGGAATCCAAATTTCTATTTATGATAAATTTTTTGACAGCATCAATTCCGGTCAGAGATACTTGGGCTCCCCAAGTCTTCAGCAGCAGAGCAGCTCTTTTGTGCAGCCTGTGCCAGGACTTCAGACTCCAAGGCTTGTGCTCCACTCACCTCGGAAGCCCTTCTATGGGGGCTGCCACTGAACTGCCCTGCTCCCTCCCAGGGGATGACTAAAATTTTCACTGGGATGCTGCCTAGCATGTAAGAGAAGCTTGTAAAATAAAGATGTTTGCACAGAAATATTTGGGTCAATCAGCATTTTACGATTAAATTCTCTTCCATCAGATAATTTTCAAACAATGTTAAGAGAGATTTTGTGTTTAGGTTTGTAACACATCCTTAATCTCTATCACTATTTGGAAAAATATATACAACAATAATGATGTTTACTCTATTGATTCAACTATTGGAAATCTTGAGATTTTGACAAAATATATTTCTTTTTATTATGCTATTTCTGACAGTTGAATATTGCTGAAAATAAATAGCAGGCAATTATTTTAATACACTTTTACTGCACGTTACTTTAGGAGATTGTTCTAAATTGCTAAAGACAGAACCAATTTATCTAAACAGAATTATTTAATACCAGTATGGATTAGCATTATATTGTCAGATAGGCAGAAACTATGGATAGAAACTATAACTCTTTTTCCATTTCTTGTCTTAAATTAAGAAGAAGATGGCTGCCCTAGAACAAGTCAAAATATTGACTTTTATACCAGAAAGAGCATGTGCTCCTTCAAAATCTCTGGTAATTTGGTGATGCTCCTAGAGCAATTTGGTGATATTCAGAAAGCTTATATTACTAGACACTATTTGTAATCCATGTTACCTGCACCTGAAGACTTGATCATTTCCTCTAAGCTCATATACACAAGGGAAGAAGATTTATAGAAAAAGAAAACAATTTTCTGGGTTTTGTTTGTCTGTGAATGCTGGCAGTAAGCCACTGTTTTTCTGAATCTCCAATTTTTTTGCCTCTATGTTAGACAGATGTTTATCTAAATCATTTAAATCTCTGTCTTTTCTGGTTTAGACACATTTAGTATTAAGGGATGCTCCCTGAGTAACAGCATACATTAAAAGTTAATTAAGAGGAAGTTAAAGAAGAAGGAAAGTAATTACTTTTTTCATACCCCCAACAGACATTTATTTCATTTTGGCAGTTAAAAATGAGAAGATTTGGAATAAAGGTGTGAAAACTGGCAATACATATTTTTAGGGAAAAGCTTTATCACCCATTTCCTTGCATGCTAATTAGGAAATGCAATCCACTTGCTTATGTTGAGTGAGACTAGTAAGTAATATACTTCATTAATTTAATAACCAAACTTTTTAAAAGTAGCACATCTACGTCAAATAGCAGGCAACCCATTTTTGAACATTACACTAGTAGACACTATTTACTGGTTTTTTAAGTTATTATTCAGTGTCAAATAATAACATCTCTATCATTTTAAGTTTAATACAACTATTTACTCTTGACTACTAATTAATGTTTCTGAGAGAGCAAAATATATCTAGAAAAATGTGTGCACACATAGTTCCCCCCCACCTCGTAGACACACACTTTTTAACTTGCAGGTGTGTGTTCAACAATTGTTTGATTCTCACTTATGCAAATCACACACTACTGGAAACACTAAGATCAACATTAAAAATAAAATTTTGATAACAATATGCACATTTTTCCTCCAGAGGAAGAGTAGTTTCTGGATTTAGAACATCATAAACCCAAAAGTAATAACAAAAGAATGTCACAAAGAAAAAAAAAGTCAGTCTTAGCCACAGCAAAGCTGCTCTATTTAAAGTAGGGCAATTATTCTTCTAAAATAAAGCCCTCAAGCTCCAAAGATGTTACGCGCCCTGATGTCAGGCCTCAGAAAGGCTGTACCGGAGAGGAGTGCCTGTGTGCCCTTAAGGTTATCAGCTGCGGGGTGTCCTCAGCCAGCCCTGGAAAGGCAGTCCCCCATGGGGGAATGTCAGCCCTCTCCCTGCCTATGCCCAGTTGAATCCAGCTGAACTCCACCACCGTGGGTCACATCTGCTGCTGTCGGTGGCGGGGGGAATTTGAGACATGAGGCTCTGCACTATTCAGAGAGGAACTGACAAAGGGCTAGTTTTTAATAACATGACTAAAAGGGAACCCAAAATGGGAATACTATGCAAATCCATAGTAGATCTTTCAAAATCCATTTTCCAGATTTGGAAAGGGAAGATTTCAGAAGGACCCAAATTCACAAAAAATTCTGCCTCTAAACCAAAACTATTCAAATATGTTACACAGTTTTTTCCAGGATAAACCTGTGGGTGTTTTTTGGTTTTTTTTTTCCCCCTCTGTAGTAGTGCATCTACCCCCGTTTCTCTCTTCAACCACTTCACAACCCCAGGAATTCCCCCCAAACCTCAGCCTTTGTGTAGTGAGTTGGTCGGTTAAGCTCCCTTAATTGCACCAGAAACTCCTGTGTGGCTGAGTCAGGGAGAGGCCACTGTCCATACTGGAAACACTGGCTGACTGGTCAAGGTGGGGAGCGGAACAGGAACCATCAGTTATCCCCTGACAGCCTTGAGACATGCCTCACCTGAGTTGCAACCCACGCAAAGCGGTACCATTGTCACGACTAACGTGAAGCGGTACCATTGTTACTGGCATTCCAGTAATCGCCAGCTGGATTGTGGTCAGGATGGAAATTTACTGATGACTACAGCCCATCATCTCACGACCCTATAAACAGCGGTCCTAAATGAGGCCCTTTGAGCTCTTCTGGACCACAGCAGGCTGCGACCAGTATCTCTTTCTGAGTGGAGAACCTCTCAGAGTTCGCAGACTCTAAGTTTGCAAAAATTGGAGGTCCATCACTGAAGACCGACAGTGAAGCCTGGCCTGAAACCCTTCATTCCTCAAGGCTCAACCCTCACCCACTGAGAAATACCAAGACATTCAACATGGGTTTCACTGAACTTGAGGGGAATTTTTAGCAGGTATACCTTTATACATATATATATATACATATATAAAACCATGTCTGTGTGTATGCATGTGTGAATTGATTTAAGTAATCTGTAAATGTGTCATTTGATTACAAAATGAGTCTTATTCTGCTGCAAGTTATATATATATTATCCTTAGACATAAACCACTGACCGAGTCTGAGACTAAGATTGTACCTAGCCACACCTAGACTCTTCTTCGAGAAGTTTAGAAATCAAGGGGGTCTATTCTGAACCTTGTGACTCAATGGGAGGGTCCTCCTTATCCTCTGCATCCATGATATCTCTGTGAATCATTCTAACCTGAGTGCAATTTAATTTTCCTTTGTGTTCTTCTTCCATCCAGTAATAGAATGAACCTTGCCTTCTTCAAATCTTTAACTAAGTTGCTGTTTTGACTAATTTTGTCGAATCACTTTGTTAATCGACTGATGATTGAACACTATTAAAATATCACAATACAACCATGTGAATTGCCATAACAGCACAAATAAATTCTAAACTGCTACTAAATCAAATTGTGTAAAGTCACTCATTCGTATCTTGCATTTTCTATCCTATTTCCTATGAACTTGAATTTTTTTGAAATTCAAATTATGCTCATTACAAATATGACTGAAGCTATTAACACTTTAACTGTGGAAAATAAAATACTTGGGCCCCAAGTTTCTTATGTGAAAAGGTCTGACTTTAAGTTATCCTGTAGCCCTTGTCTGTGACGGTGGCATTGCAGGAGAGCCACAGAGAATTTGGAGGTTGGTGGGAGAACATGCCTGACAAGGCATTTTCATGAGGTGTCCCAAATGCTGCAGAGCCTGTGAGGGCAGGTCTCTCCATTTCTTAACTTAACCAAAGGAGAGAGCACAATGGCCAGGACCAACATGGTTAGGATCATGGTTAAAATATAAACTGAGTGACTGTACCCAAGTTTTCACTAAACACTGAAGGAAAACAAGAAAATTTACAAAAGTCTGTAATAATCACAATTATAAAGATAAACTTCAAAATAAATGGCAAGTAGAATTAACACAAGGGCATTTGTCAAGAGGTTGCATACTTCCCAAGGCACAGGCCCTGAGGCAGGTGGACATGCAACCTGCATTTCCAAAAAGCATTGAGTCCCAGCCTCAACTTTCTAGGGTTCCATCTCAACTAGTAAAACCAATTGCGTGCCATTACTGGATGGGGCTGGAAAGGAGGGCGAGTTTGGCAGCAGGATTGAGGTAGATCTTGGAGTGCAATGTGCAGAGGGTCCCACCTGGCCCTCCCTGAGTCCTGACCTGTCCTGCTCTTGTGTGGCTTCTTTCTAAAGCAACTCTTTATTGCTTTTGCACAAACCTAATATAAAATAGGAGAGATTTAAATAAAAGGAGGACTGTGGGACAGTCATATCAGCATACATCAATGAGTACCTCCTTCCCCATGCTGAGCCGAGCTTGTTCACAGTGGAAAATTGGACCATTGATATTTATTCTAGTCACCAACAGGGGAAGATTACGTACAAAGGCTTTGTCACATTGCTAAATTTTGCATCTTGCCTATCAGTTTTGTCCCAGTGTTTCCAATCTGTGTGTGATAAATGCCTTCTTTTTGAAAGATTATTGCTTCTCTATAAAACATTTTTGAGGAGAGAAGGAGGAGAAAGAAACAATCAGCTGAGTAAGGGACTGGCATGTAAAATACTATCATTTGCAAAACACTGGCCTGAAACCCACTTGGAGGCCGGGAAGCTGGGCTTGAGCCTCAAAAGAGGAAAAACTGAATGCAATAATTACATATTTATTTTTAGACACAATGAAAAGCTAAATAAACCATAAAACCTGTGTTTACCGGTAAATCCTTTCTGTCCAGAAAATCATGCTGAGTGATGCAGGAACAGTCAGTTCTCAGGGGATCAACTGGTGGTACCTTTTTGGCAGCGTTTCGTTCCTCCTGTGTTGGTGCCAGGACACTTTAGGTCCTGAAACAATTAATTTTAGTAGTGCTGCAGCAAACTATTGCCAGAAATCTGAATTCAAAGACAACAATGCTGCTGCTGAAGCTTGTTTTTCTGCCCTAGCTCTGAAATCACCTTACAATCAAGAGGGGCTCTGAGGTTGGACTCCAGAGAAGCTGACGGAGATCAGCCTGACAGGAAAGCGGGACACAGAGCATCCAAACATAGCATTTGTGATGGGATCAGTGCACCCACGACTGCATTTGGCAAGGGATAGTGTGTGTGACTGGGATTTATGGCAGGGGTGAGGAATTGCGTGCTGACTGCTTTGATAAACATGCATCCTTGAGGTGTGCCTAATTGTTCTAAACAAAGGTGATACCATTAAACACAGGAGGAGAAAACACACAGAGGAAATTCTGTAAGTGATCCCACAGGACTCTGAGGAGGAGCTTGCCTAAGAATGAAGAGCCTGGGCACGCGTTATGATGCAAGAAAACCTGGCTGTTTGACTAAAATGACACAGCAATTCACACCACCGACTGGAATACCGTCCCGTTGTTAGGAAAGTCCAGACCAGCACAGTGACAAAGACAGATCTCTTTTAGTTGCTTGACATAAATTACAGCATGTAATCAGCCCTGCCTTGTATCCGTTGCTGCAGAGTCAGGACACTTGGGGTTCTCAGGGTACCAGCACAGACAGTTCTCCACAAAGCTAGTCACTACCAGTTTTGACAATTTCATGGTTACAATGCCAACATATTACCCTGTCTGAAAGACAACAAAAGAATATGCACTCCTATTTCTATAGGCAATATGAAATCCCATCAGGGTAATCTACTGGAGCAATCTTAAATAGAACTGTACAACACAAATTAGGTGCTGCCTTATTGCTTCTCCTCTCCAATAGCCCATACTAATGTCTCCCCACATCCACATTGGTAGCGTACAACACCTGAAGCTACTTCTCAGGAGAAAAATTTTTCATTCCACCTCCACCATTTTAGCAACCAGGTCTCTCTTTCATTTGCATTAATTTAATCCTTTCTACAGAATAACCCAAAAGACAGAAGTGGAAAAAAAGATTCCAGAAAGAGAGAATTGAATATGTTCATATTCCAGGACTTCAGCTGAATCATCTTTACACTACTGGTATAGCACACTGTGAGATGGCAAGACACTTACTTTTGAATGTGTTTTTTTTTTCACGGCCTGTGCTGCGGTCTACATCAACAAGAAAGGATGAAAGGGTAGATGGAAAAGAGGCGAAGCGATATGCCAGCTACTCATAAGCAAATTCTTGGCTGCGTGAGGAAGAGAAGCAGCATCTCCCAAAATTCATATCAGTTTTGTATTAGACCAACCACACTGTCTCTTAATATAAAATGACCTCAACTATTTATCATGCTTATAAATATGGAAGCTGAATTTAATTATAATCAAAGAGTTGGATTTTGGCCTTGGATCATAAAATGTG